ATGTTCTAAATATGACTTAATGCAGGCTTCGTCAGCCTGGTGCCCTTAGAGCATGGGTAGGCAAACTAAGGCCCTGGGGCCGGATCCAGCCCAATCGCCTTCTAAATGTGGCCTGCGGACGGTCGGGGAATCAGTGTGTTTTTACATGAGTAGAATGTGTCCTTTTATTTAAACTGCATCTCTGGGTTATTTCTGGGGCATAGGAATTCATTCATTTCCCCCCCAAAATATAGTCTGGGCCCCCACAAGGTCTGAGGGACAATGGACTGGCCCCTTGCTGAAAAAGTTTGCTGACCCCTGCCTTAGAGGCTACTCCTTTAGGGCAGATGGGGCACTGCCCCACTAACCTCAGCTGGCTCTGAGCCAGCCCCTGTTTCCTGGCTGTCTTACAAACAGTCCAGGGGGTGGCACTGCTTGGCAGCTTCCTCCTCCTTAGGCTCCGTGTTGCCCATGTAATCGTGCTCATCGGGGGGGGGGGGGAGCGCTAGGATGCTGGAAGTGGGAACTGTCCTGCAGAAATTGACCCACCCTGGCCACTAAACCACCGCCCAGCTTCCCTCAGCCCAGCCCTTTTGGACACTCCGGCTTCCATCAGCCTCAGATCGGCTGGGAGTTCTAGTTCAAAATGGGTGCTGTGCCAACGAGCCACGGGTCCCAGAAGGCCATGCAGCTTTCAGGCTGGGAAACCAGCTTTTTAACGTTCCGCTCCTTTTGCCCAGGTGATGTTGGGCGGTGCGTGGTTTACGTCGGGGCTCGGAGATCCGGACACCGTCCCCCACGCTGTGCTGCTGAGCCGTGCCAAGGCAGCTGTTAAGGAGCACCTGGGGGTCTCAGCCGAGCCCTCCCGCAGCATCGTCAAGGTGCAGAAGGTACAGACCCTGGAGCAGAGAGAGTGAGAGAGAGAGAGATATGAGGGTGGGGAAGAGCGTCAGTCTTAATTCCACAAACCTCCTTCTGTGTTCCAGCTGGATGCACAGCTCCCATTAAGTTTCCTGCTTGGCAGGGGGTTTTCCTGCTTGGCAGGGGGTTTTCCTGCTTGGCAGGGGGTTGGACTCGATGGCCCTTGTGGTCTCTTCCAACTCTATGATTCTATGATTCTAAGTTCAAGAATCACAGAATTACAGAGCTGGAAGGGGACCCTGAGGATCATCTAGTCCAACCCCCTGTCATGCAGGAATACGCAGCTGTCCCATGCAGGCATCAAACCTGCAACCTTGACATTTTCAGCACCATTCTCTAACCAGCTGAGAAAAGTGAACTGATTTATTATGATTATATTGATTTCCTTTATTTCACAAAACGTATAATAAATAATAATAAAAATAAATGTTATTTATACCCCGCCATTCCTGGTTCAAAAACCGGGCTCAGGGCGGCTAATAACAATTTTAAAACACTTAATTATAAAAGCAGCATAAAATACAGTATAAAAACATGAATAACAATAGAATTCAAAAATCAATTAGATAATCCCCAGGGCTAGCTGGCTGAATTGGTCCTACTTGGGCCAGCGAGGAGGCCAGGGGAGAATTAGCTGTGGGGTCACAGAGCGGGTGATCTTCATAAAGAGGAGGGGAAGAGAAGGGAAATAAAAGATGAGGCTGAATTTAAATTAAAGGTCAGGCGGAATAGCTCTGTCTTACAGGCCCTGCTTGCAAAGAAGGAACCCTCAAAGTGGTTGACAAGCAGAATGAAAATGAAATTATCAGTGTGTGTTTTTTAAAAAAAGTTAAAAGCAACTTTTTAAAACTTTTTTTTAATAATGAAAACCAACAATAAGGTAACATTCACTTTTCTGGTGGTGAATGTAAAGATTGCCAAGATGGTGTACAGCATGACACAAATGGAGAGCTTTAAAAATGCAGAATTGGGTGGAGGTTAAGACCTATGGTGCTGTGATCCACCGTCTATGTTGCTTTTGTGATGACACAGCCACTGTGCTGGCTGTTCCCATGGTACAGATGGAGAATTGGTGGCTTGAGGAGGCTGTGGGGATTTGAACCCAGCTCTTTGCTGTCCAAGCCTCAATTTCTGTGTCTTGTGTGTGGAAGAAGCAGAGGAGAGGGCGCTGCATTGGGTGGCAGAGAGAAAAAAAGAGTCGGGGAGGGGTATTGAAGGGGAGAAGAGAAAGGGGTACAGGATCTCTTTTTATACATATAACTCCAATTTGTTTGAAAACATTTTGAGTTGCTCAAGACCACCTGCAAACCCCTTTGCCCCTTCCTGTCTCTGCAGGCCTGCATTCCTCAGTATACACTTGGCCACTGGAAACACATAGGTAGGCCTTTCTTTTTTAACTATCAAGACAATTTAATTCAGCTATTTTCATGTTATGCAGCCTTCCAATGTGAGTGTGTGAGTGTGTGTGTGAGTGAGAGAGAGAGAGAGAGAGAGAGAGAGAGAGAGAGAGAGTTAGGCCTCAGCTACATTAATCAAAAAATAATGTTTTGAATTCATTATAAAAATGCAACACCAGATGGCGCCAGAGAGAAGAAAAATTTCTAAGTGGTTTTTGCATAGCGTTTTTTTCTTTCTTTCGTTATAACGATTTAATTTTTGACTTATTTATAGTGTTTTTCCCCTGAGAGAGAGAAAGAGAGAGAGAGAGAGAGAGAGAGAGAGAGAGAAGACACACAAAAAGCCCAGCGCAGCAACACCTTACATTTCTATGTATATAGAAGCACAGGTGGTTGGGACCCCCAGGTGGGTCGCAGCACAGCCAGGGGGTTGGGACCCCCAGGTGGGTCGCAGCACAGCTCTTTCTTCTTGCCATGTTGTACTCCAGCTACAGCTGACCAAACCAAAGGAGCACAGTGCGTGTGGTGTCTGGCCCAGGATGCATCCTTCTGACAACACACATATTTTTGCCACAGGTGTTGCAAATTGAAAGGCTAGAGCCTTTTTCCATAAGAAGGATATTTCTGGCAAGCTGTGAGGGAGCTGCGACACTGTTCACTTTCTGGTCTGTTTGTGCGGCTCTCTCGACTTCTCCCAGAACAGTTGAATGATGGGGACCAGAATGCAGGAGGGTGGTAACTTAGCGGAAGAGATGGCTGCAGGAAATCAGCTGGCAGAGGCTCCCCCCTGGAACCCTGGACAACCGCTGCCAGTCAGTGCAGGCAGTACTAAGCTAGATGGACCAATGTCCTGACTCAGTATAAGAAGGCAGCGACATATTTTCCTTGCTAACCCTTTGCTTTGTCCTATAGAGAGCGCAGCGGCTTACCTGGAGCAGCACAAGCTGCCTCTCAGCCTGGTTGGGGCTTCCTACGAGGGCGTCTCGGTCAACGACTGCATCTCCAGTGCCCACACTGCTGCAGCCAAGCTTCTCGGCCATGTCTCCTGAGAAAGGCAGAGGGGACTTCGTCTTTCCTTGGCTTGTGGGACTCCTGCCCCAAAGTGCTCCTCTCCGCTGGCAGCCTTGGTTCTTATCCTGCTAACTGCCTGGAAGTGGAGTTGATGAATCTCTTGGCACAAGATCCAGGCCTCTCGCGTTGAAACGCAGAAGGGGGTGGTTGTGTTGGTTCAGCTTGGAATGGATTTGCTCCTCTGAGTTTATATCTATCTGGTCTGCAAGAACCACACACTCTGGGCTGCCGTCTGGAGAAGGCCTCGCTGAGGACTAGGAGCATGCGTTGCTGCAATTGGAAAAGCGGGTGTCTAGTCCCTGGCTTTCCTCCCTCCCTTGCAATTTGAGGTTTCCCCTGGTGCTTGGAAGTGTTCCCTGCTTTGTCTGAAGATTATGGGGAAGGTGTCTGAGATGCTCTGCAGGCTGCCTTGGTCCTGCTGTTGGGATGGTGGGGTTTGTGTGTGCCCTGTCTGCTTCCTTCCCATCACCCGTCAATTCTTCATATAATTGACTATTTCATAGATGTCTACTAATAAAAAAAATATTATCTATCAGCCCTACTGCTGGGGAGGCTGGGCTGATTTCTCGCTCCCATTATTTGGGTACATAAAAGTGCAAAGCTTGAGGACTCAGGCCTGATTCAGGCAGTTGTGAAATCTACGCAGGTCTCCTCCTGTGCAGGAGATCTATAGCAGGCATTCATTAGAATTCACTGTGCAGGAAGACTGCAACTTACACAGGAGTTACATTCTTGGGCTCATGCCTGAAGCCCAAATCTCTCAGTGGTGGCCAAACTTGGCCCTCCAGCTGTTTTTGGACTACAACTCCCATCATCCCTAGCTAACAGGACCAGTGGTCAGGGATGATGGGAACTGTTGTCCCCAAACAGCTGGAGGGTCAATTGCCATAGCCACTTTTCCTGGAATCCTGCCCCCTTTTAATTTTCTAAAAAAAATGTCATATGCATGAAGCTGAATGTGCACTAGTTAAATGTGTGTTAACTTGCAATGCAATGGTATACATGTGCCTGCTCAGAAGTAGGCGTCTGTTTGCAGCAGGGCTTACTTCCAGGTACAGGATTGCGACAGAAATTATTCTAGCAAGTAAGATCAGCATCGGCTGCTGTTGCTGCTTTGTTTGTGAATAATTATTAGCCTGCCAATGGACATAGGCATTCCACAACCAACTCTATGCCCTGTGCCCTTTCCTCTTTGGTGCAGGTAGAAGTTCACCAGGTGATGCCCATCCTATTTCTGGTCCGTACTGGGGGGGGGGACACCTATTCTACCCGTCCCACAGCTGGTCTTTTTATTGCCTGAAGCACACATGCCCTAATTGCAACCTTCCAGGGGCTGCATATTGGGGGTTTGGTGCGGGGCAGAGGCAAAAGTGGCTGCATTTGGAGCTTATATTCCAGCCAAGCAAAAGCCAGAGGATTCTACTTCTACCCACACCTCTCTCCACCCTCCTAGCGACATTATTCAAGGGCAAGGGCACACAAGGAGAGGGCCTGGAGGGGACAGTCCCCAGGGGCCAACTAGAGAGGGCCCGAGGGCTGCATCTGAGCTCTGGCCCAGAGGTTGGACACTCCTGCCTGCAGAGGGCCAGGGCAGCCGCTCTTAACCAGGAAAGGCAGCTCACTCTTTTCCTCTTTAATCCACGGACCATGTTTTTATTTCATTTAAAAAATCGGTTTATCAAAAACTGAGGCAAGGGACAGCAGCTACAGCGAGAGAGAACGAGGACTCCATAAATAGAATAAATAACTACACACCACTGCCAACAGCTAGAGCGATTGTGAGACGCACACCTGCGGAGAGGAAGAGGAAAGGGCCTTTTCTGAGGCCGTGGGGTGGGGCACAGGTTGCAGGCTGGGACCAGCCCTAAGAGAGAAAAATGTGTGTGTGAATGTGTAGAGCTGGAAGAGGGCATTGTGTAATGTTAACTATATCACTATAACTTCCGTTCACAGGAAGTTTTACAATCTATCCCCTTTCCAGCTTATTTTTATTTTAAAAACCACCATGATTCAGCAGCTACAGAAAGTACAGGGCTGATCAAACCCCATTTCCAATGGTCCACATAGGCCTTTTTTCAGGCAAGGAAGGGGGCCCAAGGTGCCAAAAAACAGCCTGGGAGGGCAGGCATCCAGCGGGCACCTTAGCCTATTTGGAATGGGGATTAGGGTACAAAAAATGGCACTAGACCATTAAAAAGGGACCTCCTTGGGAAGGAATATATTGCACGACAGCCCAAAGTTGAGAAGTAGCCCCACTTTTGACCCAAAAATGAACCTAGGCCACCTTCATGCCATACATTTAAAGACCTATCATACCATTTTAAATGTCTCCCCCCAAATATTCATGGGAACTATTAAGGTGCTGAGAGTTGTGGGAGATGACCCCCTGCCCTTCCCCTCACGGAGCTGAAATCCACAGTTCCCTGTGAAGAGGGATTGAATCCCATTCGTGAGGTGAACTAGGGACACCACAGCAACTCTCAGCACCCCAAACGAACCGCATTTCCCAGAATTCTTTGGGGGAAGCCATGACCACAAATGTGGCACTTTAATGCTTTCAATGCGTTGTGTGAATGTGGCCCTAATCCTTGGACATTAAAAAAGGGGGAATTTCTTGCTTGGCTCAGAATGATTAAATAGGTTCCAGCATCCATCTGCGTCCAGCTCCAGAAAACGTGAGAGGGTTTGGTTCAGAGAACTGCAGGAATCAGCCACCTAGGTTTCAATTCGATTGGGGGGGGGGGGGAGACGGACGACGACGGGGACAGACCTCTCTCCTACCAAATGTTAGGTTCACCACCAGCACCTTGACTGGGCAGAGTTCCTCCTCTTAAGGAAGGAGGGTGCCAGAAAAATAGTGTTTGTATATGGACGTATTTCTTTCAACAAGTCTGGCTAAGCAGGAGATCTCCGCTTCGCCAGCCTTTTGAAGAAGGCACCCAGCAGCGCCAGGCTGTGGAGTGCCCCTTCTCCAAACCAGGCAGGGAAGAGGCCTGCATCTTTCCACTGGGGACGGCATGAGCCCAAGGGCTTTTGCAGGAACGGCCTTTGCTTCTGAGGGAGCCTGGCACCAGCGACAGGACAGAGCTCGGTGGATGTGCCCTCCTCCACTTCAATCATACGCAGCCGCCTCTTCCCCCTCTTCTGTCTACCGCCTCCGACAAAATCCACCAGCATGCAAATGTCACAGCAGCTTAATGACCCCCTTTAACGGTACAGAACACCCCCAGGCCCCATAATGAGAGTCAGCCCCAAATCCAAAGGGGTATGGCTGCGCAGCAGCGAGGCCTAACTCTTCTGCAGGTTGGTGGCACCTCTGAGGTAGGGCCAAAGTCTTTGGGAGGAGACGGCACCGCAGGTGGAACCAGGAGTCAATCGCTGAGGGATCAGAATGTGGAGTGTATTCCTGCCCCAGTGGAAATTTAACTACCATTTATTGCCCCTCCCAGGTCTCTCTCCATTGTCCAGTCCAGGTTTGTTGGGCCCTGGTGACCCAGCAGACACAGAAAAGGCAGCCCGATGGGCTCTAGGCCACAGCCTGATTATTATTGCAACTCCTACGATTGGTTCTAGAGGCTTGAGGCTTGGCTGTGGTGCCTAGTGCCCACCGGCTTGGACTGCAGCACCCGCCCTAGCCGGCGCTTCCTGGGCCAGTGTGATTGCTCATGGGCTTCTGGACCGGGGAGGCAGGGGTCTTGAAAAACTCTGCCTCCGCTCGCCCGGGTAGATGCTTCCCAGCATCCTCCACTTCTCGCTTCGCAGCTTCTGCACTGGGTGCCGCCGCCTGGACGACCGTTCTGAGGATTGCTGGCCTGGCGCTGCCAGCCGCCGCACGGGGGGACCCCACCTCCCGCTCTGCCTTCCCCGCTGTGGGGCTGGTTTTCGTCTTCTCCGGTTTGGGAGCCCCCCGCTCTCCCGTCGCTGAATCCAGCAGGGCCTGGATCGTCCCGAAGGGAACTTCTCCCCAACCCATGGCCCGGGAGAGTTTGGCAAACGGAGTCTTGCGCAGCATCTCCTGGCGGAAGTCGTGGTTGCTGCCGCTTGGATAGTTCCTGCCACCGAGGCTGGGGATCGAGCCCTTGCCGCCCCGGGTGGCCCGAGGGTTGGTGCCGATGTCGGCCGTGATGTTGGTGTACAGAGGTTGCAGCTCCTTGGAGAGGAGGGTGTACGAGAGGGAGTTCATCCCGTCCTGGGTCCAAGCCCGATGCGTCCTGATCAGCAGGTCAAACCTATGGGGTTGGGGAGAGACAGAGAGTGTGTATGTGCAAGGTCACATTTGTGCCATACATTTAAAGCACTCTTCTGCCCACCGGTCCTGAAAGTGCTGTCCATGTAGAAAGACTGGGTCGTTATAAAGAGAATAATAAATAATAATAAATTTTATTTATATCCCGCCCTCCCCAGCCGAAGCCGGGCTCAGAGCGGCTAACAACAGTAAAACGATAAAACATTCTAAAATCATTTCATTATAAAATTAATTCCAATCAAATTAATGGCAACCATTGGGTTAGAAGTTCTGTGAGAATTGCCAAAGGAGGGAGTCAAAATAATAATAAATTAGTGGTTCTTAATTGATTGGGGATTCGGGAGTGCTGTATTGTATTATTTATGCAAATTGATTTTCTCTGGAGTTAAAGATCTGACCAGGACAAACCTTATTATGTTGAGCTCATATTTTGCACAATTTGTATACGGTGTCTGTTTGATAATGCCTAATAAAGGATAAAGGTAAAGGGACCCCTGACCATTAGGTCCAGTCGTGACCGACTCTGGGGTTGCGGCACTCATCTCGCTTTATTGGCCGAGGGACCCAGCGTACAGCTTCCGGGTCATGTGGTCAGCATGACTAAGCCGCTTCTGGCGAACCAGAGCAGCGCATGGAAACGCCGTTTACCTTCCCGCCGGAGCAGTACCTATTTATCTACTTGCACTTTGACATGCTCTTGAACTGCTAGGTTGGCAGGAGATAAGGATAACTATATATAAAAAGATCTATGCTGGCTCCCAGGACCGTTTCTGAGCACAATTCAAAGTATTGCTGCTGACATTTGAAGTCCTAAACTGGTTCGGCCCAGTATACCTGAAGGAGCATCTCCACTCCCATCATTCACCCACTGAGGTCCACCTGCGAGGGCTGGTTCCCTCCCTGCAAGAAGTGAGGTAACGGGGAACCAGGCAGAGGGCCTTCTCGGTAGTGGCACGCCTACCTATGGAACGCCTTTCCATCAGATGTCAAGGAGATAAACAACTACACAACATTTAGAAGACATCTGAAGGCAGTCCCGTTCAGGCAAGTTTTTGAAATTTAAAGTTTTATTATGTTTTTGTATATGATGGAAGCCGCCTAGAGTGGCTGGGGCAACCTGATGGACAGGTACAAATAATAAAATGATTATTCCTCCAACTGCAGGGTTTTTTGGGGGGTGGGTGGGAGGAGGGGGGAAGCAGCACACCTGTGTGGATTCTCCTCGTTGCCTTTATCTCCCTTATGCTTCACCATCTTGTAGTGGCCGACAGAGACAGGAGGCCGTGAGATCTTCATGCCGGCCAGGCGCACCCTGGAGACACAGAAGCAAGGAGGCCAAATTAGGATTTGCTAGCCCGGCCCTATCGTTAGCCACAGTGGAGCAGATGCCTCAGGCAACATGTTTAGGAGTGCAGGGGGTGGGGGTGGCAACAGAATGTCCACCGCCAACCCCCCTCCATTGGAGACCAGAGCTAGGTCTGCCACAGGCCTGTCACACAGCAAGCAAACTGCTCACTGGGATAGGCTGTCACTATGTTACACTGCTGCTGGAAGCATGGCAAAGGCTGTCCATTATCTACCAACTTAGACCTTGTCCACACCACACATTGAAAGCACCACGGCAACCCTTTCAACAGCCATGGCTTCCCCCAAAGAATTATGGGAACTGTAGTCTGTTAAGAGCCAGTGTGGTGTAGTGGTTAAGAGCGGTGGACTCGTAATCTGGGGAACCGGGTTCGCGTCTCCGCTCCTCCACATGCAGCTGCTGGGTGACCTTGGGCTAGTCACACTTCTTTGAAATCTCATCCCCACTCACCTCACAGTTTGTTGTGGGAGAGGAAGGGAAAGGAGAATGTTAGGCGCTTTGAGATTCCTTCAGGTAGTGATAAAGCGGGATATCAAATCTAAACTCTTCAAACTCTTCTTAAAAGTGCTCAGCTCCCCTGACAGAGCTACAGTTCTCAAGAGTTCCTTGTGAAGCGGGACTGGTTATTAAATCACTCTCAGCACCCTTAACAAACTGCCGTTGGCAAGATCCTTTGTCAGGCGGGAAGCCATGACGGTTGACGTGGTACAAGAATGCTTGAAATGTATGGTCCAAGGTGCAGATGTGGCCAAATAAATGCACAGACACACGCAGTATGCAGCCTTAGGAACAGTGGGTGACGCTGTCTCATTGACAATTTTCGATAAGAGTCTACTGCTAGGCCTGCCAGCTTCTGTACACAGAATGGGGAGTGTGAGAAGGAAGAGAAGGGGGCGCCATTTTGTTTTTAGCCTCAGGTGGCAAAATATATTGGGCCAGCGCTGTGGATTTATAGTCAGATGGGCTTGGATTTATAGTCAGATGGGCTGTGGATTTATAGTCAGAGCTTGCCTGGGCAGCTCCCTAACAGACGTCGAACCTGCTCTGAGGTCAGGGACTCCTGACCAATCAGGAGGTGGGTAATGTGCATTGCTGCGCTAAACATCCTCCCTCTCTTTTAACGCCAACTCTTTTGCGCAGGGAATTTTCCAGAAGCAGAGCGTAGGCACGCCCTCACAGCCAATTCCCTCCTACCCCTACCCACTCGGGTCTCTCTCAAGCTTTTCCTTTATCTTCACCCAAGGTTAAGCATTCCACTGCTGTTCCCTCGCAGCAGGAGGTGGAACAGTTGCCATGGCGACACACAGTCCTAGTCAAATCCATTGAAGAGAGGCACAATTTGGGAGCCAAAATGCTTCCCTGGGCGAGCCTGTTGGAACCAAGTACCAATTTTATTAATCCTTTGTTATCCATGTCTCTTAGTTCCCTCTCCTCCTCCTTCCTGCCACCCCTCACTGGCACATCTTAAGATTGTAACCTCCCTGGGGCTGGGACCCTGCCTCTTTCCCAGGGCTTATGCGGGGTTTTTTTGCAAAGCGGTGATAGCGAACCTCAAGCCCAGGGTGGTTGTGAATGCGGCCCTCCAGGCTTCTCTATTTGGCCCTCAGAACTCTCTCCACAGGTCATACCTTGGCTGCAGTTACACTCTCTCTGAAGGAATAGGCATAGTCTTTCAGTACTTCTGAATCCATCAAGGCTCAAGTGGCCTTAGTGGCGCTGAGTGCCTTCCATCAGCTTCAGCTGCTGGCATCCGTCTCTGGACAGGGACAGCCTAATTCTGTCGCCTGTGCTCTGGTAACCTCAGAGCTGGACTACTGCAATGTGTTACACAGGGGGCTGCCTTTGAAGACCATTCGGAAACTGCAGCTGGTGCAGAATTCGGAGGCCAAATTGCTGACTGGGGCAGGACAGTCTGAACAAATAGTGCCAGTTCTGGCACGATCGTCCTGGCTGCCAATTGGTTTCCATGCAAAATTGAAAGTGCAGGTTTTGACCTATACAGACTTAGAATCATAGAATCATAAAGTTGGAATAGACCAGAAGGGCCTTCGAGTCCAACCCCCTGCCAAGCAGGAAACACCATCAGAGCACTCCTGACATATGGTTGTCAAGCCTCTGCTTAAAGACCTCCAAAGTAGGAGACTCCACCACACTCCTTGGCAGCAAATTCCACTGTCGAACAGCTCTTACTGTCAGGAAGTTCTTCCGAATGTTTAGGTGGAATCTTCTTTCTTGTAGTTTGGATCCATTGCTCCGTGTCCGCTTCTCTGGAGCAGCAGAAAACAACCTTTCTCCCTCCTCTATATGACATCCTTTTATATATTTGAAGATGGCTATCATATCACCCTTAACCTCCTCTTCTCCAGGCTAAACATGCCCAGCTCCCTTAGCCGTTCCTCATAAGGCATCGTTTCCAGGCCTTTGACCATTTTGGTTGCCCTCCTCTGGACACTTCTGTGGCTCAAGACCCCAATACCTCAAGGACCGCCTCTCTTTTCCCACATGAACTGACCCGGACCATGCAAACATCATCTGCAGTCCTTCTTCATGTGCCCCCTCCGCAGGAGGTTCAGAAGGTGGCAACACAATATTGGGCCTGTTTGGGGTGGCCCCCCGCTTGCAGAATGCTCTTTCCAGAGAGACATCTCTTTATTTTTAGGTGCCAGGTACCCTGGCTTTTGGCCCTTAATTTGAAGAATAGCATTGTGGCCTCTTTGAGTGAGGTGGGATCGCTAAGTCGTACTCTGCTTTGTCCGTTTAGTGGTAGTTTTTGGATTTTTATTGGATGTTCCTAATCGGTTTTAATGTAAGTTGCTTTGGGTTCCCCTGTGAGAAAAGCAACTAACAAATGAAATAAATAAAGACTACACCTCACGGCCCTGCTCTACACCCTCCTTGAATATAAACCTACAATTTCCAAAGTTATTTAACCATCCATCTTCTCAGGGAACTCTGGGGACTGTAGTTCTTGGAGAACAGCCTTCTCCTAACAACTCTCAGCTCCCTTAACAAACTACACTTCCCAGGATTCTTTGGGAATTGACAGTTTAAAGTGGTAGTGCTTTAAATGTATGGGGCAGGTGTGGAACAATTCCTAGTAAGTAGCTCACAAGTGTGCTAAACCCAGGTTGGTGAGGTGTTAGGTACTCAGATTCTAATGTCTGCAGGGGTAGATTAAGTTTCTCTTCTGGTGCCCCTTTAGATAATTCTTTTGTCACCTCAAAAATTCTGGACATGCATTCTTTGGGATCAAATACGCAAAATTAAAGCTTCACATCTGTTCCTTACTAGAGTACAGATCTTTGGACTATATCCAAAGCTAGTTCTATTCAGAATAGACCCAATGAAGTTAAAAAACATGGATAATCATGAATTTTACCCCGAGTAAAACTAAGTTGGGCACAACCCTCAGAAAACATTTATAGCCCCGCCTTTCCATTAAACATCTCATTGTTCTGTGCAGTTTCCCTTTCCACCTTCTCTCACCGTTGCTGAGGTGACCCAACAATATCTCACAAGAGACACCCCCCCCAAGTGTTGGAGCATTTGTGAACATCCCATGGCATCACAGACGTTCAATTCGCCAACAAGTTCAAACCCCAATGCAACAAACACATGGGACTACTGAGCTGGGCGCGTCATCAGGCTTGCTGCAATTTTCTCACCTTACCTGAATGCTGCCTGCGTGGGAAAAATGAGCATGCAAGGATCCGACAGCGTGCACAAGGCAGGGTGGAAGAAAGAGATAAAAAGAGATGATAATGAAGGCGATGAGAAGGAAAACAGCACTCCAGTTGCAGAGTGGGAAGAAGGGAGTGGAACAAACAGAGGCTGGGTGGGGAAATCAGTGCTCCAATAATCTCCGAGTCTTGCAACAGGCAGGGAAAACTACAATACCAAAGATCGTAAACCTACCAGCTGCAGCTACTCTTCCCACTGCCCATTTTTAACCTAAAAACCATGGCTACACTTATGCCACAGTTCTTCACAATTGCAGGAAAAAAAGCAGGAAGAATGATTATCTGGCCTGGAATTTAGGAATCTGAGCTGCTTCTACCACTTTTTATTTCTTTCTCTTTCTCTCTCTTTTTTTTTTTAAAAAAAACAAGTTTCTAGTCCTTTTTAAGTTGGTAGAGTTGCCAAAGGCATCCAGGATCCTGTTCTCTCAGCAGCTAACCAAAGCCGACAGGAAACCTGCAAGCAGGAACTGAATACAACAGCAGGTCTTAAAAAAAAACAACCCATGAATTTTGTCCAATCCTATTTTGAAGCCACCAAGTTGCTGGTCATCACTGCCTCCTGCAGGAGAGAGCACCATCATTTAACTACGCACTCCTGTGGTTTCCGGAGACTGGCGTGCAAGGTTACCAACAGGGTTTGAACTGCAGAATCCTAGAATTGTAGAGTCGGAAGAAACCCTGAGATCATCCAATCTGACCCCGCTGCAATGCAGGAATATACAGCCATCCCATACGGGGACCGAACCTGCAACCTTGGCGTTATCAGCACCATGCTCTGAACAACTGAACGAACCACCGCCAACCCCTCAGCTACAGTTCCCGCCAAGTCAGGTGCCAAAACAAAAAGAGCAATGCATGTTCTAAGCGAGTGGGTGAAATGGTTGCAGGTCGGAATGCAGAGGGCGAAGAGACAACGGCCACCACAGAAAGAGAGGGGTGAACGAGGGACACTCACCTGGTGGCGATGTCGTCGTCCTCGCCTCCCCAGCCCCAGTACTCGTTGGGGAAGCCGTTGATCTTTAGGTACTGGTCCGGGGTAAGGGCTGACACACCGCCAAAGTACTGCGAATATGGGAGGCTGGAGTGGGAAAATGGAGAGAAAAGCCAGCATTGCTAAGTCGTTTTAAGTGACACTGGGAAACCCCTGCACTAGGTATTTCAAAGACACGGGGGTGGGGGTGGGAAAGGCTCCTGACACAAATTTGCAAAGCATTTGCTGTTTCGCATGTGCTACTAGTGTACTGCATATAGATGGAAAGTCCTAGCCCAAATCAAACTTAATTCATATTTGGCAATGATGGGAAATTACTTTTGGGTGTAGTTTGGATATTTTTTTGAACTGATTCTATGAATTTAATGAAATGGAGTGAGAGCGCTCCGAGTGCTGTCCTCAAAACACAAGAAGAGCCTTTTTGAGGAGGAGCATCAGGACCTGACTATGTTTTCTGCTTATGTTTTGAAATAGCCAAGAAATGGTTAAAGCTAGAACACTGAACATTCTGCACAGATTTCGAACAATTTCATTGTCTGGAAAAACCAACGAGTGTGGTTAAAAAGGAAAGTCAAGGCAAGGTTCATTTCCTTATTGATTAGTTTCCTTACTGATTGGTTTCCCTTTATTCAAAATATGTTAATAGTTCTAATCAAACAAGGAAACCACCTCACAAACATGGCCAGCTCTGAAGAGACGATAATTTCAGTATTTGGCACTCACTTTTTCCCTTTTTCTTTGGAAGCCTGTTGGATTCTGCGCTTGTTTTTACATTTTCTAATGTTTATACGTTCATTCTGCTCTTGGTTGTTACGTGCTGTATAAAAATTAATACTTTTATTTTTCAAAAAAACCTAACACCACAGAGCCAGCCCTGAAGACAACCACCCACCCACCACAAAGGACGGTGCTATCAGGGAAGTCCTGCCCTCCTCTATCCCTGCCTTCTCACTTGTAGCCAAACTTGTTCATGGCGACAGAGACGTGCTTGGGACTCCACGGGTCGCAGATGTAGAGATTGTGGTCATTCTCGGGAATGAGGTCAACATCGTGGAGGAAGAGGCAATTCCACTCCTCATCCTTTAGGGCTTCCTTCACGCCCACATTCAGCAGCTTGGCCCGGTTGAAAGTCGCATTGCCAGCCTACGGAGAAGCAGGGTTGAGTGGGAAGACGTGGCAACAGGGCGAGGAGCAAAACTCACGAGGCCCAGCCCTGTCACAAGGCAACTGCACCGAGGGCCTTCTGGCAGTTTCCGCCCTGCGAGAAGTCAAGTTACAGGGAGCCAGGCAGAGGGCCTTTTTGGTAGTGGCGCCCGCCCTGTGGAACACCCTCCCACCTGATGTCAAAGAGAACAACTACCAGACTTTTAGAAGACATCTGAAGGCAGCCCTGTTTAGGGAAGCTTTTAATGTTTGATGCATTACTGTATTTTAATATTTTGTTGGAAGCCGCCCAGAGTGGCTGGGGAAGCCCAGCCAGCTGGGCGGGGTATAAATAATAAATTATTATTATTATATTATTGTCAGCAGTGCTAGAAACTCAGAGATATAAGCTCAGTGCCAAATGACTCCTTACAACAAGGTTACAGTCGCCGGAACAGAAGTTTTAGTTGCCATTTTGTGAGGAGATACGACTTGAAAGTCTGTCTTTTCAAATGATGGACTGACTGTGTTTGATTCTCAGTTAAACATCTGGCTAGTTCAGATGGCAACCTTGAGCTAGGTTAAGAGCTCTGAGAACTTAAAGAAGAAAAGTCACTTGATCTAGGGAGAGTCCACATATATATTGGCCTATTCCAACCTTTTCTTAATGGTGTCTGCTCCTGCTCAGGCTGCCCAAAAAAGCATTTTGGTTCCCAAAATTCATTCCGATTGTGGAGATAAAATATAACTGGTAGAATTCCAGCCAAGCTCCAACAATCCCCAGATGGTGGAGATGTCAGGCGCCGTCCTGGTGTCCGGGCATCTTCACTTGGTCACAAGTAGTCAAAAGCTGGGCGCAAAATTTGTATGGCACCTTTGAGTCCTGAGGGCCAGGCCTCTGGCAGCTGCTTTGGGCCTGAGGTTCCCCCAACCAGGGCAGGATTTAGGTTTGATGAGGCCCTAAGCTACTGAAGGTAATGGGGCCCTTTATATGTCCAGCTGTCATTGCTGCTGTTTTTTGTGTTGAATAAATGCCATATATATATATATATATATGGTATACAGTGGTACCTCAGGTTAAGAACTTAATTCATTCCGGAGATCCGTTCTTAACCTGAAACTGTTCTTAACCTGAGGCACCACTTTAGCTAATGGGGCCCCCCGCTGCCACTGTGCCACCGCTGCACAATTTCTGTTCTCATCCTGAAGCAAAGTTCTTAACCCGAAGTACTATTTCTGGGTTAATGGAGTCTGTAACCTGAAGCGTCTGTAACCCGAGGTACCACTGTATATGATATTTTAGGTAGCAGGCAGGACCCATTACTTACATCATAGGAGCCTACACAACACAAAACACTGTTGGTGTATGTAGGTTTTATTTTATTTGTTTTTTTATCTTATATTTTGGAAATGTACATCCGGGTTCTTTTCCTTTAACTTTTTTGGGGGCCCCCAAGAGAATGGGGCCCTAAGCTATAGCTTGTTTAGGTTATATGTAAATCCAGCACTGCCCCCACCCCTGGGTTGCATTGAATTAATCTCTCTTTCACACAAATCCCAAACAAACGCACCTGATGGACTACATAGATCCCATACTGCAGCTGCTGGCGCTGGAGGAAGGGGTGTAAGTAGTAGAGCAAGTGGCGCAGGTGTGTCTCCCGGTTGCGGTGCGGGATGATGACGGCTGTCCGGGAGCGTGGCTCACAGGCGGAAGGGCGGTACCTGCCCCCAAGGCCCACCGCCGGGTTCTTCTCTTGGATCTGCTCCAGATTTGGCACCTGGCTGAAGCTCACTGTCAGGGGGCCAACTGAGATGAGAGTCGGTAGGGTGAGAGGAGAACAAGAACAGAATCAAAAATCCATGTGCAGCCAGATTTAACGCATTGTGCTCTTCCAACAAGAGCTGCTTACCTCATCTCTCTGATGCAGCGTTCCAAAACCCCCCAAAGAATCTGCCCAAGTTTCTAGTCTTCATGAGGCCTGCATGAATACCCGACACAAAAGCCTCTATCTAAATATCTCTCACCCCAGAGGCAGGGAGCTAAACTAACCATTCCTTCCATGGTGCAAGGAGACTGTGTGCATGCCAGGTGTGGCGACAAAGTTTTAAGCTATAAGCAGGATTTCCCAGAAAAACAGAACGAGAGATGAGCACGCAGAGGCAAGGATAACAAGCTGTTAGGAGCAAATGTTGCTTTGTCCCCACGCCAAGGACATCTGGGTCAGGGATAATCCCACAAGACTGGAGAGCAGCACCCTCGACATCTTTCTTTTATAATAAAATAAGTCAGCGCAATCTGGGTTGGGAGTTGCTGCTCTTAATATGACGGCAGCAGCCCCAGGTGCACAGTGCAATGAGTCAGGAGCACGGGAAGCGCACTTTAAACTGAGTCAGACGCACTGGTCCATCTAGCTCAGGACTGCCTGCACTGGCTGGCAGCAGCTCTTCATAGTTTCAGATGGCGGACATTCCCAGCCCTGTCTGGAGAGGCCGGGATTGAACCTGGGACCTGCTGCATGCAAAGTGATGCCGTGCCACCAAGCTATGGCCCTTCTGGCTCCCTGCGCCACTGGAGCTGCCATCACTAGAGGAGGCATCTGTGGGCATCTCAAGCCAAGGCACCATCACCACAGCCTAGCATCCTCCAGGCCCAAAGAAGTCATGTGACACCAGGCAGCCAGTCCTGTGCCGCTACCCACTATAAAAGGGTTCCAGGCCTGCCACCCTCTTCCTAATCCAGGCCGTTCGGCTGGGGAGGTGGCCAGGTCCTCTCTCTTACCTTCTGTTCCACATTCATACTATAAATATAAAGGACTATGACACCACTTTAACCTGTCACGACTTGCCCCCAAAGAATCCTAAACAAACTGTCATTTGTTAAACGTGCTGGAAGTTGTTACGAGACACTCCCAAGTCCCTCCAAAGCTACAATACCCTGAATTCCCTAGGGAAAGGAATTGGTTGTTAAACTACTCTTGGAATCACAGCTCTGGGAGCGACTCGAAATTGTTTTGTGTATGAACATGTAGACTCGTTGAAATTTGTGGAGCCAAGTTGGTCATCTCCATTAATTTCAACACTGAGTAGAACTTGGCTGTTTATGGTAAAAACACTGAGGTTTTTTTACCCTCAGGTGTGTAAATTTTAGGAAATAAAAAAATAAGCTTCATACAACCCTACGTTCCTAGATCTTCACTATCAAAACTCTGTTGCTATATATAATCATGCATGGTATCATTTTGGCGCTATTAACATTCTTACCGCTAGCTCTGTTTTTAACCTTAAAACTATTTTCCTGGATACACTGGGCTTTTGTTTTGAAAAATATATCTTCTGCCTTTTACTTTTCTATTGACTTTTGGAAGTTGTGTTTTTCTTGAAACCATCCTGGCACAAGTAGATGGGTTGCTATATTATCTTTTTCCTATTAGACTGCACTGTCAGCTTAGATCTGAGGTAGCTAACATGGCACCCATTATGGTACCCTCAGTTTCCCCAACCCCCCTCCCATTCTCTTAAAATAATAATAATTAAGGGAGGGTGGCCTGCTTATCTATTGGTCTGCAGTCCATTTATTTTGCTGTGCATGTAAGCATTTTGCCTCTTTAGATGTGTGCGAGACTCACCAGTTTTTCCATCTGTGAAATGGGTACTTTGTGGTGGACAGAAGTTTCTTAGATTTCCAAATGTGCCCCTGGGCCCCAAAAGTTGAGGATTCCTGGCCTAAGTTAAAAATATAGATCCTATACACACCCCAGGAGCATTTTTACTGACATGCCGGGGACCACCTGACTGACGCTCGCTGTCCACTGGCAATTTGTGGACCACAGTTTCAGGACCTTTGCCTTAAATCACATCTAGGGAACCTGTGGGCCCTCCAGATGTTGCTGGACTCCAGCTCCCATCAGCCCAAGCCAGCAAGGCCAATGGTGAGGCATGATGGGACTCATAGTTCAGCAACATCCAGGGGGCCACAGGTTCTCACCTTGGAGGAGTGGTAATTTTGGTTTGCTCAAGTTACTGTTGTAATTAGTACACAATTATACTGTGTACTAGGGATGCGGGTGGCGCTGAGGGTTAAACCACAGAGCCTAGGACTTGCCGATCAGAAGGTCGGCGGTTCGAATCCCCGCGACGGGGTGAGCTCCTGTTGCTCGGTCCCTGCTCCTGCCAACCTAGCAGTTTGAAAGTATGTCAAAGTGCAAGTAGATAAATAGGTACCGCTCCGGCGGGAAGGTAAACAGTGTTTCCGTGTGCTGCTCTGGTTCGCCAGAAGAGGCTTAGTCATGCTGGCCACATGACCCGGAAGCTGTATGCCAGCTCCCTCAGTCAGTAAAGTGAGATGAGCGCCACAACCCCAGAGTCGGTCACGACTGGACCTAATGGTCAGGGGTCCCTTTACCTTTACACTATGTACTGGCAGGGCTGTCAGTTTGCATGCCATTTTTACAGAGTGCAGAAGGACAAGCCCCTGCCCCAAGGAGCTTATAGTCTCAACGTCTAACAAAGGGGAAAAGAGAAGCAACGAGTAGCACGGAAATCGCAGACAATGGACAGGTACTGGGCATGCTTGAAAATCCTGCCCACACATCCCTGGAAGATCAGCCCCACTGCACTCAATGGACTGACTTGTGAGTAGACATACACAGGGTTAAATTGTTCATTGCAACTGGGAAGGGCGTGGGGAACATTTCCCAGCCCAGTGACTACACTCTGTTCTTGGCTACCTCTTGAGGGCCACATGCCAGTGGTGGGTGGAGCCACACACATTAATTTCATCCTTGTGCAATAGGCTAGCTTCTGCACCTGCTCTCTCACGCCCTTCTCCATCCACCCTCCAGATAAGCAGGAGGCAGAGTTCAACCAGACCCAAACCGCAAGGTGCAAAGCAGGGTGGGTGAGGGGTGTGGCCTGGGGAGTGTTGCAAGGGCCGTTCAGAGAGGCCCAAAGGGCAGTATTTGGCCTCTTGAGTGTGGGATTTCCCCCCTGCAATAGGGATTCCACAGGAAAAGTGATCAAGCTCATACAGAGCGATACAAAACTGCTCCTTCAGCAACTCTGAAAAGGCTTGGCCACTTAATGGGGTGCCATGTGATCTAATAATTAAACATTTACCCAGGCCCAAGCAGCAGACAAAGAAACTGCCAGCCATAAAGCTGCGATAACCGCCTTATCTTATTTATTTTTTAAGTGGCTTTGAGAGACTTTGTAATCTTGCATAGGTC